GTGAGGATCTTAAAGAACATGACCAAAGTGCTTACCGACACTGCTGACGTATGTACTGAGTTCTTGAGTCTTGGAGCTTCGGTAGCCTGGCTGCCGTCAACCAGAGTTATCACCACCATGCACTACCCAGGCCTGAAGCCAGGCCAGAGCCTCGGAATACGTGATTTTTTTTTTTTTTTTGTAGATCGGGCGAAAATTAATGCGCGCGCGGATGTCATCCATAAAATTAAATCGGTGTGGCCTAACTTAATGTCAGTAGTAAACTATTCAATCTGTGGTAAGATTTAACCTTATGTTTTATAACGTCTCATTTGTACTGCACCTGTGCAAAAGCCGTACTGTATTGTGCATAGCACTTTGGAAGAACATCTCATATAAGGTCGTTTTTGCATATATAATGTTAACACTCTGTCTGTAGTTTCCAAATGTTATGTCGAAAAAGATATCCTCCGCAACAGGCAAAATTCTGATGCAACAGTGACTATATATCCAACGAAAACCGTGAAAAAAAATCAGGGATTTGCACAGGCGCAGTATGTTCTGCCAATGTGCTCCTTCAGCCCATTGGCATTTATGTTATACTGTACCTCTCATGAATCCCTTATGTATTACTAGTAAGTCACTTCTAAAAATTCTAACTGTTTCCATCATAATCACTGGTTGAGTGCACATATTATAGCGTCCATCTGTTTGCTAGTGGTGGGTGGGGGGCAGTAAACTCCAGCCAAATTGGATCAGACAGTTTCCCCACTATCTCACTTTACTATCCCTCTTTGTTCAGACACCATTCAACACTTTTTAACAAGCCCACATGTTTGAATTTCCAGACACAGCTGATCTAAATCGGAGCCTGTAAAGTCAGGTATGCATGAAATTGGATGTGTCTGAGCATATTCATAACACCGGGAGCCTTCAGCTGTCCCTAGGGTGGCTGCATGAATAAGATTCTGTGTGCATAATCCAGTATGTGGGTCAAGGATCTAGTAATAAGTCTTATAGCAAGGTCAGACAAGGTCACGGATCTTAGGGAAACTCCTCCCGGAGGGAGGGCTATGCAATTGGGTTATCTCACCTCCGCCAACTCCCTTTCATGCTTGTTAGGTCTACTCCTTCAGAACTGATTCCTCAAAGGACTCGTGGTACAAGAAACAGGTCTGTAGTTATTTCTGATGACAAGGAGAGGGGAAAATTTATTTCCTAACTGGAGGGCCTTTGGCCTCATCGGGACCTCACTTTTTGACATTTTGGAGGTTAGATCTGGTATATATCATTACAGTGTGTCTGCTGGTGTAATATGGCACCACACGTTCACACAAAGCAGGGCTGTTGTAGTTGTACACCTGCCAAATCTGTTTAAGTGGAAATCATCTGTCAACTTGCAGATTTCAATTCCAAAAGCCTTAGTCATCCCGGAACGCATTTAAGATTACAAAATGGTTAAATAGTTTATCTTTGAGATTGTTGAGAAATGAAACAAAGTAAATTATATGCCTGAAACTGTTGTAGGATTACAAATGTATCTTTTTTTCTTTTAAATGGATGCCTGTATATCAGAAATACCTGCACAGCTCCAATTTTACCTGCACTAACCTGCATTTACCCAGTACATGGACCAGTGCAGGCTAGGTGCAGGTAGACATCAGAAATACCTGCACAGCCCCAATTTTACATGCACTAACCTGCATATACCCAGTACATGGACCAGTGCAGGTAAGGTTCAGGTAGACATCAGAAATACCTGCACAGCTCCAATTTTACCTGCACTAACCTGCATACACCCAGTACATGGACCAGTGCAGGTTAGGTGCAGGTAGACATCAGAAATACCTGCACAGCTCCAATTTTACCTGCATTATACGCACCCAGTATTTCCAGCCCTGAAACCACCTGTACAACTCACCTTGCTGGGAAGACAGAATCATGCCATGAGCGCTCTTGTCCTCATTGTACACCATGATAGCCTGTTGTGTGTCATGGCCTCCTGGAAAATATAACACAGTCATTTATGAATAACATAAAGGAAGGCTATACTGTAATTAGATCTGTACTAAAGGAGGTTATTCTGCTACTGGTTACAACAAGAAGTATGACAGGGATTGAAATACGTTTTTTCTTTGCCTTCCAGTTCATCAAAATTGAAATGTTTTTAACTTTCTGCATTCTGTCTTCAAATTTCAATGATGTTACTTTGAAGAATGCAAGGAAGTTTTTGACCACTAGTGTACAGGTAGACACCAGAAATACCTGCACAGCTCCAATTTTACCTTCACTAACCTGCATTTGCAGGTGGTATTTTGAGCCCTGTCTAAACATCAAATGCAGTGTGTCTACAACAGAAGACAAGCAATCCCTCATTCTTGCAGGGTTACATATCAGGATCAAGGCAGTACTCAAGTTGAGTGCCTTCTTGAAATCTTCTTTGTCCAAATGACATCCCAACATCCCAATGTCTCCCAACAGACCTTTGTAATGGCCAAACACACTGCAAGTAGGAGTCACTGTAGACTTTACTATCCATCTACCTGTGACACTACAAGTCTGTGCCATGACCCCAATTTTTATACTGTACAGAGCGACAGACAGTAATGATTGAAGGTCATTCCAAGGACAGGTGAAAGGGAGAAAGGTGTCACTGTTTTCTGGGTATCAAACAGTGGTGACTACAGGAGCTACCTTGTGTTAGTCTAAACTTAATAATAATGATAATAAATGGTTTATTGGTCGAACATCACCCGTGAAAATGCAGCCTTTTACAGCACTGAATTGATGCAGGGTTTACAATCACATAATACACATGATACATATAACATTTGCTCCACACACACTTTTTGGAACTGTCGCAAGGGTCTGTGCGGCTGCCATTCGGCGCCACAAGGTGACCTCAATACGACTTTCTCCAACCGAAGTTAGGTACCCATTATTCACACCTGGCTGGAGTGAGGAAAGTCGTCTTAAGTGCCTTTCCCAAGGGCACAACATCAGGGCGCATGACCAGACATGTCCCGGGTACGACTCGGGATCAAACCCGGGTCTCACCGTTTCATAGTCGAACGCTCTACCACGACGCCACTCAATGCCACCCAAACTTACACTACATTTGTATTGTGTTGTGTTGTACATACTTGTATTGTGGAATGCTAACAGCAATACATACCAATGGGTGTCTGCACCTTAACGATGAACTGTTTGTTCTTCAGATATTTCTGGTTCCTTGCGGCTGCTGTTTCCTTGCTGTTCATGTGAATGGAGAACGTAGGGCGCTGGGCAGTCAGGACGTTACTAAAGGTGGTCACATAGCCTGGGCTGGCCTGCTCTATTGGTACAGCTACAACGAACCCTGTAGGAAGAAGTTCCTCTTGTAAGTTGTGCTCACAAAAAGCTACAAGATAGACAACCATCAAGCCATATTTTAGAATCAATGAAAGAACTGACAGGGGACTAAATGTAGCATGTGCTAATGTAATGTTGGGACCATATACATGTGCTCTCATCTCATCTATCTCTATCGAGTCTTTTGACCATCGGACACCAAAGATGGTCTGCCAACCAGTTTTCTCCACCCTGCCTGGTTTTGTTTCTCTAAATGTTTCACTTAGTGTTGAGCCGGTCCATTCTCTGATCTTATTCACCCATTTTTTTCTGTTTGCTACAAATTTCTTCCTCCCTAGTTTGTTCCTTGCATGATGGTTTAGGCTATTCGCGTGCTCACACTACTTCAATTTCCGTTTCTTTACTGTGGTTAGGATGGACCTACACTTTGTTTGACTGTGTTTCGTATGTCATCATTTGATATGCAGTCATGTTTGTGATCCATAGAATCTTTCGAAGGCATTTCATCTCTGTGGTCTGTTTTCTTTTGTCTTTTGCTGCTAGAGTCCAGGATTTGCAAGCTTACCATGTACAGACATGTCCAGGGAGTGCATCAGTCTGAGCATGCACATGTAACTAACCACAAGCACATTAAAACTACATGCCATGACTATCTCTCTCACCTTTACACTCATGTTTGTGGCCGCCCTCCTTCCAGTCTTTCGCCTGACACTCTTTGCTGCAGTAGAACTTGAGATGACAGCGAGAGCATCTCTTCAGGTTGGAACTGGGGCTGTGGCACCAGGAACAACAGGCACCTACATGTAAAATGTACAATACACGTCATGTATAAACACAACAAAGTACATACGGTAAAGAGACTCTTTTTACACAACCAATTCTTTTATTCAGCCGATGTCTCGGTGACCATGTGTCACCTTCCTCAGGGCAATTCTGACTGGTTCACATTACATTGCAGCACAGGTGTCGCTGCTGTAGATGCATTCAAAAGCGTACAATATTTACATACCTACACGTGTTGTTACAGGGAACTTTATCTACATCAATTTTTTTTGTATAATGCGGTCTACAACACAGTGCAATGTGAACCAGTCAAAATTGCCATGAAGAAGGTGACAGATGGTCACCAAAACGTCGGCCGAATAAAAGACTTGGTTGTGTAAAAAGAGCCTCTTTACTCAGTATCTTATCAACCTGGTGAAACTATTCACGAATGCAAAGTTCTTACCCCAAGAACACTACATTTTTATTTGGTAGAAATACATGTAGCTTCTTACTTCATCTCGCACCAAGAATATCTTCCTTTTCTCAAGACCCAAATTCTTATTACCTACATTTTTGTAGAAATAGATTCTTCCTTTTCAAGATATATGTTCTTAGTAACTTCTTACACTATAGGATCTCTACACTTGTCTGAGACAGAGGAATGACTGACCAGCCTTCTCCTTTGCCGACTCCTTGTGGCTGCTGTGTTTGTAGAGTAGAGCCTTGGTGACGTCATCATTCCTGCACAGGTCCAGGGAACTGGTGCCCTCCTCATCATGTATATTTGGGTCAGCACCATGCTTCAGGAGCAGCTTTAGGCAGTCTGGAAAGCAAAAGGGTTGAATTTTCATCCACTGATAAATATGTGGAAGTTTGGAACTGTTCTTACCCTCACAGTCCCCTTGTTGTACACAACACACAATCTACAAACTGGAACTGCTAAATCATTGGATGCTAAGAGTAAGACACATGAATGAGATAGTGAATTTCAGGCACATTGACCCAGCAACATAATATTTACATACATACATACAAATAGACTAAACATATAACATTCTACATGTATATACAAAATACATTTCTAAAAAAAAGTAGTAGTTGGATTTTCTAAGAAATTTTGACTCCTATCCATAGCATACAATGTATACAATACACTACAACTTTTTGGTACATACATGTATAACTGCATAATGATGTGAAAGCAGTTACTGTACACTACACAACATGATTTTTTTTCGATTGACGCGCCTGCTGGGTTTCCTACATGCTCCCTGGTCGTTCGTACGTTCGTTCGTCCTACATCCGGGCTATTTCTGTTGACCGATTCCTGTTATTGTGTCTCCACTTCCTCGTCTCTTATGCATGAAGCACTAAAAACTGGGCTACTGTGTGATAAAATGTCAACATAGCTCTATGTTTGACACAAATATACATTTCAAATATAATTTCACGTTAATTGTTCTTCCTCGGGAATGTTAACTCGTTTTATAAATACTCCTTTTGAAGCCTTACTTGCATGGTTACTCTAATGGCTCAATTGGTAAGGAGGCTGTATTGGCAATGGCGGTGTCTACAGGCAGTGAGTTCGATCCCCCCTACGGAACTTTTTTTTTTAAATTTTCTTTTTAACAGACGCTGTTTTGCTTTTAACACTCAAAAACTAATTATTCAAGTCTCGACATATGTCTTTTTTTTAATTTTCTTTTTAACATCCGCTGTTTTGCTTTTTAACATTCCAAAACTAGTTGTCAACGTTACTACTTATTATTTTAACATAAAAAAAAAACTAGTTGTTATTACTGTTCTTTCCATTATATGGGCAAGTGTTGCCTGATATTGCATTCTTGGAGATTAACATTCTCGCTATGGGTAATATATTACATGTAGTATGGCCATTGACAAGCTGTCAACATAAAAAACATGCACAATTGAAATCAATTGCTCCTGACATCATATAAGAAATCTTTGTATTTCAGATTTGATAATTAAGAATCTAATTTCCTCACTTAAAAATGACGTGAACTAGCTCCTAATGAGCATCAATTCTGGTTATCTTTTCCTAAACTATCTACATGCCAATAGTGACAATCCCAATGTACATGTGTATGTAGTATAGCATAGCTAGATTTCAAAGACTTTATCATCACTTCATAAAAAAAACATATTTTTTGCATACGATTTTGTTGTGCAAAAATACAACGGCGTCAATCGACAGCTTTTTCTAAAAGCACTTGTTTACCATGATTTCCTTGCAGAGCAGCTCCATGCAGAGGTGTGGAGAGTGTGTTTGTCCTGGCGTTAACATCAGCCTTTCCTTCCTCTATAAGAACCCTGGCGACATCCACATTGGGCTTCCTTCCTGAGGTACAATAACAAATCAAGGTGGATCATCACAAGTCTTAGATATACTCTTTAGTCAAACCATTGTATGTAGCTTATAATCATTGAGTGACCTTATGACATTCTTAACATGTTTTCTGTCTTCCTTTTGGCTGAATTTCAAGCTTGTTTGTTGGCTTCACGTCATGTGTTACCAAATGCTACACTCTTGTGTATCCATTGATCAGAAATACATGTACATGAACATAAATGCAGGTATCACTGTCTCAGGTAACGTCGTCAATACTTCAGGGCCCACTTAATACACTTTAATTTTATGCCTGAGGAAACACATATGGCTAACATAAAAACAATAGTATTACAAGCAATGCTAGCAATTGAACTTAATTTTTTTAGGACAGAAAGGTACATGTACATGTATGTATACAGTGGATGATTACAGAAGTTCTACAGTGAAGATACCTGTGCAGTAGAAGAGAGGAGTAAAGCCAAGGGTATCTTTTTGGTCGACGACAGCACCCTTCTGTATCAGCAGCCTTACCGAGTCCAACTAATACAGCACAGAACAGGATATAATGCATAATTTACAGTCACCTAGAGTACTCTACTAGGAACATGTATTTCATGGCAATGGTAAAAAGAAGTCTTAGCCTAGTTTGATGAAGACATGTTGCGCTAGCTTGAGCTCTTACGCACTTACATGTATGGAGACATGGTGACCAAGTGTGCATTAATGAAAAGTACTACTATTATCATATAGCCAGAAGACGTTGACCAATCAGAAGGCTCCATTTCCCATTGGCTATCAAGCTGTAACCTCAAAAGTGGTCAGTTATTTGAATAACCAACCACTTTTTGGACCATACCATTATACAGGGTCACATGACCTGCTACGTGTAGTACATGTACATACATTGTAGGTCACGGAACCTACTCTATAAATAACCTAATTAACCAACTGTCACAGAAGCCATTGTTTCAAGTACCCGTTCGTAAATAACCGCCCAGTGCAAAGCTGTCATCCCAACTTCGTCTTTCTCTTCCAAGTCCACCACACCCTGCTCCACACCACCCAAGGTCAAGATGTCCTTGAAAAGGTCGAAGGTGTCGGGACAGGCGGCCATCATGGCGAGGTCAGTCGAGGGGTTGGCCGGGGTCGTGATGCCAGCTTTCAGTTTCCCTGATGCAACCTGTTCCCTCAACTTCTGCTTTGCTGCCATCTTGGAACTGCAGAAAGGGCAAAGTTTATCACTCAGTCTGAATCTATTCCATAACGGGGGGGTGCCTAACTTTGCACTGATTTTTTACTGATCTCATAAATAATCATGCCATGTTTGTTGCCACTGACTTTGCTAATTAAAACGGTAAACAAAGTCACCAATGGCCATAAAACAAATGTTCATTATGGCTAAAACACAACCAACATGTAGTCATAACTTTAAGAGTTTGATTTTCCACCTGGCAATTGAAGACAATAACTAAATCCCTCCTAATATAAAATTGCAACATGATGTAACCCAACACTAGTTACCATGGTGACAGATGTCTGGTTCAGGTCATTGACCTTATTTGTTTGGAGAAGAGGAAGAAGAAACAGAGCAAAAACAATGCTTTCTTCTGCAAAGGTAAACATAAATAGAGCTCTATCATATCAAATACTTTCCCATTATTTCTTAAAGCACAGAGTAACATGAGCTTTGAATGCCTTCATCATTCATAATCTTTCCATGATGTGCATAAACCCGCCATCATCGTTCACCTGTAACCTTACAAACCCTGTGGCAATTATGTTGTACAAATTTGTAATTAGATCTGCTGTTAATACACCCTATAGACACCACCTATCATCCAGATGGTGAAATGCAACTGGCCAGGACAAGGGAAAGCTATTTGTGGAAAAATGTTCTGAATCTAATGTAAAACTCTCACAGTCCAGGTACATGGACATGTAAGGCTGATTCATAAAATCAGTTCTCACAGTTAGAATGTAGATTACTACACGTAGTATGCAACACCAACAGAACAGTTTTAGTGTATGACTGTGCAACTATTTGGTCAGGGTGTAGGATGATTTCAGTATTCCTTGTACATGTAAAATGTATATTAGCCTCCTCTTACTTGAGTGTGGGTTTTCAAATGTAAAATTACATAATTCAGTCAGGTTTACCTGTGCAGTAGTGGGCTACCATGTTTTTTACACGCATTTATGTACCAATCTATCAATAAATCAATTTACACCACCATCCAGCGGACCTGTCCTTGTACATGTATCTAGGTCGACATTCACCTCCATGAGAGATGTGTGCTGTTGCCACGCCATGACATTTTGTTGGACACACCTGTTGGTGTTTTCATCTGTCTGGCAAGAGTGTGAATGTGTCTTCAATGTAGAACAGCAGAAAGAATGGAAATATGGCAAGTATTTGGGGTCGTGTGGCATAATGGTTGAGTGTTCGGCTCAGGCCCAAGAGGTCCTGGGTTCATATCCTAACCAATGCCACCAATCTTGTACCCTTAGGAAAGGCACTTTATACGACTATCCTCACCTCACTCAGGTATAAATGAGTACCTAGCTTTGGCTAGAGACATCCCTTGGATAGGACGTTAAATGGAGGCCCCGTGTTTGGGAGAGCCACACCCCGCGCACGTTAAAGAACCCAACGCACTTATTGAAAAGAGTGGGGGACCTTCCCAGTGTGAGTGGTTCAAACCTTACAGTCTGGTCTCAGGGTTGACATCTTGAAGAGGTAATTATCACCTGTTTTGAAAATCCTTCCACAAATGTGGTAAATCTTCATAAATAAATAAAGGATGACAATGGGAGAAGGGTATAGATTATTAACATCCATTTGTTATCTGCAAGCATTTCTTTATCGCTGTACTTCAGTTTACATCATGTATTTCTGGCCCGTTTTTAACCCGTCAAAATATTCAAAAAGCATCCATCTGTCACCCAGGTAGTTCAAGATAATGCTCACAACTGCAAATTTGATTTAGGAGACCCAATTTCCAACTCCCACGGGCCTGTAGCCTGCTGGTAAAGTGGGTCAACGGTAGCAAATGAGGAAGGTTTGAATCTAGGCTTCCTTTCATCCATCTTTGTGAAGTGCAAAGCAAGACACAGTTTACACCCATATTTCAAACCCACGGCTTCTTACAGGCCATTGCAGTTGTAAAGAGAAGTTCCACTTACAGTTCAAAGCAAGCTACTTTTCAGGTGAATAACATATATGGGTAACCAACAGCATTTTTGATATGCAGGATCTTTCCCATTTCACGAAATATTGTCTAGTGGTATGAAAATTTAAAAAAAATGTACATCTTCACTCTTGACGAAGTGTTTAACAATAATAGTTTTGAGTTAAACTGTAATTCCTGATTTTTTCACATTTTTAACATGCAGGATCTTTCCCATTTCACAAAATGTTGTCTGGTAGTATGAAAATAAGTGTGCATCTTCAGTCAACTAAGTGTTTAACAATAACATTTAGTTAAACTGTAATCCTTGATTTTTACCTTCGCCAAGAAGGTTATGTTTTCCTGGCCGTGTGTCTGTGTGTGTGTGTGTGTGTCTGTCAACAGCATAACTCGAGACAGCTTAGATGGATTATCTTGATATTGGTAGGTGGGTAGGTCTTGATGAGACCTAGAAATGATTAGATTTTGGACCCCCTAGCGGCTTGTTATGGTACATGATCTACACATGCTGGGGTGACGAAATTTGGATGGTAGGTAGCTCTCATGCTGGGGAAGAAGTGACATGAGTTTGGGCCCCCTAGCGGCTTGCGTAGGAACTGCAGGGCTATCTGTTTGAAAATATTCAAAAGAGAATAACTCAAGAACTGGTGGGCGGATCGTCGTGATTTTTGGTATGTAGGTAGCTCAAGTAATGCTTGACATAATTATGCAACAATTATGCAAATCTGGATCTAATTTGCATAATTAATGGGGAGATTCTATAAATCAGGTGCATTACATTATAGGACTATTCAAGCTTGTGAGATATGTAATTGAGAACGAGAGAAACACAGGCAGATATTATGTAAATTAACACCTAATTTGCATAATTAATGAGAAAATGTTATAATTCCATAATGCTAACTGCCTGGAATTTCATACTTGGGGTATTTGAAAGTTAAGTGAAGGTGAACATCATTAAACATAACTTATTCAAATAAGGACCTCATTTGCATAATTTATGAGGAAATGATAGAATGGCTTTCTTTGCTAAGATAAGGCTGTCTTTTGATGGAGAATGTGATCAACTATATAATACAATATTATAATACAATATTATAATATAAAAATAATACAAATGAGGATTTTATTTGCATAATCAGAAGGAATCATCTTTGTCAGTTAAAAAGATTAACATCATTTGGCGAAGGTATGAGATCGTGGGACTCTAGTTTTCATAGTACTTTGCATCCTGCAATACATGTGCTATTCTCCAGATGGAACCAGTCACGTCATTAGTACGCTGAAATAAAGAATATGCCTGTTGCAGACACACTCAGCTTATTATTCATGTACTTGATGAGGATATCTACAAAAAGGAAAGGGTGTAGCAAAAGTCCTCTCGTCCAAAATCACCACCTTGTCTGCTTCAAATTTCACGAAAAGTGAAGTCAACCCAAAAATGCACTTCATTATCAAATCCTGCGTCACTGGAGTTTATTTATTTATTCATTTGGTGCAAAAAGTCAAAGGTCAGGCAGATGGAGATCCTCCCATTCTTGGGTCAAGGTCAGGGCAGCCAGCAAGGTCACGTTATCTCTTGATCCATCTGACCTTCCTTAACCTGTAAGGGAAAATAAGATGAACACACAGCTGTTGTTATGGAACTGATACTACAAGCAGGCGAGTATCTGTGCATATCAACAGTACTGCTTTGTTTTTCACGAAGACTAAATGCAGGATACAACAGTCAGTTGTTCTTCAGAATTCCACAACCATTAAACACTGTTCTCACTGATGGTACAGCTATATCTAGATCTAATTGGGAGAAAAGGTCTTCTGTGTCAAACTGAAATGTTTTTGAATTTGAATATTGCAAAAAAGAGCCTATAATTATTTGCAAAAAAGACATCTAAATGCCTGTACTGTAGAATTTTTATTCTAGAGTACAAGTATATTTCTTGAGAATCAGAGGGTTGTTACATGTAGGTATATCATACCCAGTAACGAGTTCAAAACAAGGTTTTCTAACAAGTACCAAGGTTACTCACATAAACAATTCATTACTCTTTGTCATCAATAGAATAGCTTTGTCAACACTACACAGTACAGTAGATTTTGAGACCTCTGCTGTTTTTGTGTGACCAATTGTTTTTGTACTATGGATTAGGGCAGACCATTTTTGGTTTTGAGGGACTAAGCCAGACCTTTGATGGGTTTTCTTTTAATTAAAAAAAAACACCTTTGATGAGGTTTCTCTTGTGGAAAATGTGGTAAGTAATTTAGGCACGCACTCCCTAAATGTTTACATGTATATGTCAGGCACATTGTACGAGCCAAGTCAGGGTCATTTGAGGTATCAGTTTCTACATTGTACCTACACGTAGCCATCATGCACAGAAGACTTTTCAAGTACTGTGCCACACTGTATACCTACTATTGACTACAGGGGTTGGGGATAGATAATGTGTTCAGTGACCTTAACTATAACTTGGGTTTACAGTTTAACAATCTAGCTTGGATCTACTATAGGATTAGGATGGGTCAGGTGAAATCCTCACCTGAAGCTGCATGGGATAGCCTTGGGCTCTACAAAATCTTTGTCAATAGTTTTTTTGGTTCGTCGCAACGCTGGCTGATAAATTCTGCCTACCTGGATAGTAGAGAAAGACTATTCATACTCACCCAACTAAACCTGTTCCTAAGCCATACACTTCCTTTGCTAGGTAGCAAATAAGAACACTGAGATTTGATGTGGATAATTATTCTTGTTCACTACAAACAGGAAGTGCAAGTTCTTGCTCTCAGGATACTGTAAGGCCAATTTAATTTCTTGGTTAACGGATTCGCCGCTTCATTTTTTTCTGATTTGCAAATAAAAATAAAAATTCAGAATCAACTGCAAAATGCTCATATTTTGCCGTGAACAGTTAAAAACAGTCCTTTTCATACTTCTTGTTTAAGTCATTCCATCTTTCAATGCAGTGGTATCATTAAAAGTTCAAAATTCATTGTCAAAATTTTGAACCAGCCTGGTGTGTTGACTTCAT